CCCCAAGAATCACACCACGTGCCCGAGAGCATTGTCCAAACGCTTCTTGAACTCTGGCAGGCTCTGGCAGCTGTTGTGGTCTGAGGGTTGCCCAGCTCCTGCCTTGCACTGTCACATTCCCTGACCCAGTATAGCAGCTTCTGCCACCCTGGGATCTGTCTGGGGCTGTGGTGCATGGACAGCTGAGCCCCATGTCTGCAGGCACCAGTGCAGCCTGTGTCAGGTAAGAAGAGGAATGCATGTGATGGACCCACAGACATTGCAGTGCCCACAGTTCCAGCATCACTGGGGTGGATCTGAAACTGGTGTCTCTACCCCCATTTGTGTGGGACAAGGCAGCAGGAATCTGCCTGCCCATAGATCCTATTTGGGGCTGAGACTCTGTGTTTCTTCTTCTGCCAACACTGCCAGTGCAGCGGCATTAGCAGGGGGTTAAGATGAAGCTTGGGCTTAGGCAAACAGCTTAGGCTTGACTCTTTCTCTGCAGTTATATTTGCATTTGAATTGCGTTTGAATTTCCATTTTCTTCCCCTGCCTGCTGGTTAATTGCTTGCAGAAGCCTGAGCCTGCAGACTTGGTGTGGCACTGGCTGGGTCAGTCGGTTGGGCACAGCTCAGCTCGCCTTCTGTTCGGGTGGAGAGGGCTCAGCCAGCATGTTCCTCCTTGCTAGCTGGGGGGAGGGGGGGGGTAATGCTGAAGGAGTCTGGCTACAGTAAATTGTCATTGGTAATTACACCCCAGATAAAATCCCTGGCACGGGGTCTGTCTCTCAGCAGCAGCTGGACACGGAGAGGGGAAGGGGCCAGTGGGAGATCTGGCAGAGCTGCAGGACTGTCCATGCTCACTCTGCCCAAAAGCAGTCAGGGGCTTTTTAGGACTGATTTGAAAGGAAAGGAGCCAAGTCCCAGCTGCTGATGCTCACGAGAGGGTCTGGCAGCACAGACACAGGAGATCCCATCAGATATTTCCAGGGCTGGGAGGATTTCATAGTGGTGTGCCAAAGGGAGACTTGTGGCAGGATCCTATAGTACCTGTCTCCTGGCAAAGCACTCACTGCCTCCTTTTTGGAGGATTCATTGTGAGGAGGAGGAGGAGGACTGAATACCTGGAGGATTAGAGGGCACTCTTGTAGGAAAGAATGCGTTTTTTGCCTGAATTCCCTCCGAGGCAGCAGTTTTGCTCACTGCTCCTTTGCTTATCTTTGTCTTGTTGGCTACAGGGCTTTAAGATCCAAGTTTAAAAAAAACAAATCAAACTGAGCTATCTTCTGTCATGAGCTGACTGCTCTTGGCTGGCCTAAAAATAACAGGCCGTGTCTATCTGAAAGGATTTTGTGAACAAGGTCTTCAAAACCCGCCAGACCACTGTATGTATTTAAAATCAAAATCATGGCTTATTTTTTAATGGTCTTCAGTACACTGCCAGGCTTCTGTAATCTTTAGCTGATAAGCATTCATTTATAATTTTCTCAAATAATTGGAAAACAAAGACAGCTTTTTTTTTTTTTTTTTTTTAAATTGAGCAACGGAACAGTTATTTTGAAACCAGACCCCTTGGGGGAAATGGCAGGGCTTAAGGCTGATACTTATTGCATACATAGAAAACTGGGAAACTTTTAACGTGAAAAGTAGAGATCCTAAATCATTAACTCTGTGTAGCTTTAACAAATACCCTTTGAAGCAATATTTGAAGGAAACATTGCTAGAACAGAGTCCAGGACTCCCTGCTCCCAGTTTTGCACCAACACAAATACAGCAGTGATTATGACCAGGACAGACCCACGCCAAGGGCTCTGCTGGTCCTTGTTTGTTTAGGAACAAGTATTTTTATCCAGCCTAACAGCTTTGATTATCTACTCTAATCTTTCTGGGCTCTTCCTTTGCCTCATGAACATGGATGAATTCTGCTGCCAGGGCAGTAGTTGTGTTTAAAGCAGAGCCGAGGCATCGAATACTTGTGACTTATTGCCTTCCCAAAGATTTCCCAGGGGAGGCACAGGTATCTTCGTGGACTTCATAGGCATAATCCACTTAAATCTGATTTTCTTAATCACCTCTTGCAGAGCCCTTAGAAACAGTCCACATCTCCTTGCAGACTGAATACAGCTGAACTAGCTCAGCTCTTTTTAAATCAAGTTTAAGTGGGTTTATAAATGTTTTGCAACTGTCGCATCCCTGCTAGAACAAGTTGTCCCAGTCGGTGATTGCCTGGCCTGTTTTTGTTTTTCAGGAGAGCCTAGTTTTTGGTGTGAATCTCTCTGGCTGCAGCTTCATTTTCTAGCATGGCCCTAAATGCAAACTGTAGGTTAAAAATGGCTTTCCAAGCAGGAATACTCAGACTGGCCTATGCCTTCCTCACTGTCTTTTTTTGCATGTGGGGTCAGCCACCTTTCTGAAGTGAGTTTGGTTGTCAATGTAGGAACAAACATGACTGAAGGGAGAATCATCTTGTGTCCAGAGATTAGGTAAAGTAACACTGCTTGTAGAGTCACCTCCTCAAGTCATGCCCCATGCCCAGGGAAGGGGGAGCACCAGAAAACCCTGGCTCCCAGGAAAGCTGTATGGAGTGTGTGATCCTGTAATTAAGGGCTTTTGCACAGTGCACAGAAGGGGGAGATTTGTTCCAAATGTAGCCTAAAATTACACATTCAGAGTGAATTTAACCACTCGCTATTAAAGTTTTTATTCCTCTTGATTGTGTAAGCCTCAATAATGCTGTGGCTTTGTCCTGGCTCCCCATGTTTCTGTTCCTGATGTGCGCCCAGCCCAGCCTTCCCTCCTCCACAGTGGGCAGGTGAGTAGCTAATTTTGGCACAAGAGGACAAAGAGTGGCACCATCCAGCTCCTGCTACTGTAAATGCTGAATTGCACTGGGCACTGTCCTGGCATCTCAGTTTTTAGAGGGTGTGATGAAATGACACTTTTTTAAAGGAACATAAGGGCAGGAGCAGACCTTGCCTTTGTTCTCTTGTGGCAGAAGAGTTGCCAAGGAAGGACAATTCGGTCCTTTGTTCCTGCAGGAGGGAGGCTCCCTGTGCCCGGCTCAGGTGAAGGGCTGCCTTTCCTTTGGGATGGCTGGGCTAAAAGCAGCTGCTGTTCTTGAGGCAGAGGGGAAGCATACGCAACCACAGCCCTGCCAAACCCCTCTGCTCTCTACCATACACATGGACACACAGCAAGGCCCAGTGGAAGGATGTTCCTGTCTCAGTGTCTCAGTCCAGGTGGGATATATTGGGGTGTATGGCCCCTGAGACAGCTTCTTCCAACTGTTTTAAGTGGGAATCTGAATTCCCTGCTCTGGGATGTTGCTGAGGAGGAGTTAACTAAAGCTGTGCTAACAGCTTTAAACTCTGCTCTATAAACTGTACCCAGCATGTGTCTCATGATGTGCTCTCCAGCTTGTCCAGGCTGGCTGAAAGCAGGGCTGGTCCTTCACAGAGGAGAGGAATGAGGGTGTTGCCTGTATGATCGTGGCTGAAACCCTCTGTGGCTCTTGAACAAAAGCTTTCTTGTGCTGCTCTTGCCAAAAGACGCTCAGGTCCTACATTATCCTTGCCGAGCTGCACATCCAGACCCTTCAGTGTGCTGAAACCCTCACCGTGTGGGTGAGCCCCAGGGTGCTGCCTGAATCCTGCCTGCAGCCAGGGAGTGGGAGAGGCACCCAGCACTCATGGTCTGCCCAGCCCTACAGCACTGGGCATCACTCCTTGTCCATCCCAGGGGCTTTCCCCAGCAGGACCTGCGGTCTGGCGAGTCCAGCCCTGGCTCTGCACCACTGCTGGACCCAGGAGCACTCCTGCTAGGCAGGTTTCCTTGTGAAGTTCCTTACCCAGCTTTGCATTTGGGTAAATTATGAAATATGTATGAGCCTTAGGGAGCTGCAGAGAACTAAAGCATCCTTTCAGGAGGAGAGCTGGAGCATGGCTCAGTGTTGGACTGCAGCGAGCCCAGAGCCTCAAACCAGGCTGCTGAACGTGTCTCCATGGGCCACAAAGCATCCTCTTTCCTCTCAGTGTCAAGGGGAGATGCCTTGTGGAGTTCTGGAAAGCCCAGCCAGGGCACTTGCCAAATGCCTCCGATCCTGGGAGGTTACAAAGCTCAGATTACTCACTCTGGAGTACCTACAGCCCCGGGAAATGTCACGGCCCACTGAGCTGGCAGCATCACCCCTTCCACCACGCAGCCCGACAGGGCAGACAGACTGATGTCAGCTGCTGGGAGCTGGGGAGTTTGAGGTTTTGTACTCACCTTCAGCTACAACCCAGGGCAGGAAGGGGAGTCCTCTGGGGCAGGGGAGTGTAAAAAAAAAAGAAAGCCAAGTATTGCCATTGACCTAAAAGAAGTAGTATATAGTGCATTGAGGTTCTGAGGTGCCTGTGCTCTGACACAAAGCTTTCCCTTGCAGGAGCAAGTTGTTATATAAAAGTGAAATCCTTCATTTAAAGCTGAGTCTGAGACTAAAGGTGGCCTGAGCCATAGTTTGCCAGCTTCCAGCCCCTCCAGTTCAGCCTGGCTGCTGGAGACAGCAGGAAGAAGCTGAAAGTTAGCAGAGAAAATATATGTTCTGCTGAGCTGCTGGAGCAATGGGCTTGCAGGATGTGATGGAGTGAGGAAAGGAGGAAGATGGCAGGGCTGGGAGAGGAAGGAATGGTAAGAGGGCTGTTGTTGAAACAGCTTGGCTGTATGGCATAACTTCACCCTCAGTTTGTAACTGTCCCCATGACGTAAACTCCCCGTCCACCCTTGGAGAAAATGAGCCACTTGTGTGGTAGTTGCACAGCAAGGAGGGGTCCCTGTGGGGCTTTATGACCTCCTGTGGCTCCTTAAGCTCTTTGAGACCAGTGCACCCTGCAGAGCTCGTCCTTGCCACCATACAGAGAAGGCAGCATGGGCCGCCGTACTCTGACCAGTTGTTACACTTCTTTAATCCTTTAAGTATTATTGCTGCTAGAACCTATCCTAATGCTGCACTTCTAAAAACATCTTTTTTTTGTTTGGTAGATCTCCGAAGCTGGGAAGGACTCCTTGCCTTCTTGGTTGCACTGGAACGCGGAGAGCAGCTCCCTGGAAGGGCTGCCCCTGGACACGGACAAGGGCGTCCACTACATCTCGGTGACCACGCTGCAGCACTTCCCAAACGGGAGCTATGTGCCACAGACCACAAACGTCTTCTCCGTTGAGGTGCACCAGGAAGACCACAACGAGCCTCAGTCGGTGCGAGTGGCCGTCCAAGACACGGGTGACGCAGCGCCGTTTGTGTGCGGCTCGGAAGAGCCGGTCACCATCCTGACTGTCATTCTGGATGCCGACTTGACAAAAATGACACCAAAGCAGAGGATCGAACTCTTAAACAGAATGAGAAGCTTCTCAGAGGTGGAACTTCATAACATGAAGTTGGTTCCTGTTGTAAATAACAGACTCTTTGACATGTCGGCCTTCATGGCTGGACCGGGAAATGCAAAGAAGGTGGTGGAAAATGGGGCCTTACTCTCATGGAAATTGGGATGTTCTCTGAGCCAAAACAGTGTCCCCAACATCAGCAAGGTGGAGGCTCCAGCTAAGGAAGGAACCATGTCTGCCCGCCTTGGGTACCCTGTTGTTGGCTGGCACATTGCTAACAAGAAACCTCACCTCCCAAAGAGGATGCGGCGGCAGATCAACGCCACCCCTACGCCTTTGACTGCCATCGGGCCGCCCACCACTGCCGCACAAGAACCGCCCACCAGAATTGTCCCCACCCCGACATCACCTGCCATCGCGCCTCCCACGGAGACGACGGCACCCCCCGTCCGGGAGCCCATTCCCCTGCCGAGGAAACCCACGGTCACCATCAGAACCAGGGGCCCCATCGTTCAGACGCCCACGCTGGGACCGATCCAGCCAACCAGGGTAGCAGAAGGCACGGGCACGGCCTCTGTGCCGATTCGCCCCACGATGCCCGGGTATGTAGAGCCCACGGCCGTGATCACGCCGCCCTCAACTACCACCAAGAAGCCAAGAGTCTCCACTCTGAAGCCAGGCACGCCATCCACAACGGATTCCTCCACGGCGATAACACGAAGGCCTACTCGAAGGCCCAAAACTCCCCGTCCAACAAAGCCTCCCAGCACAACCAGATCCCCCATCTCCAAGCTGACAACAGCCTCCCCACCGTCCCGTGTGCGCACCACAGCGAGCGGGCTCCCCCGGCCCTGGGAGCCCAATGAGCCGCCCAAGCTGACGAACCACATCGACAGGGTCGACGCATGGGAGGGAACTTACTTCGAGGTTAAGATACCGTCAGATACCTTCTACGACAAGGAAGACACCACCACTGACAAGCTGCAGCTGACCTTGAAGCTGAAGGAGCAGCAGATGATCGAGGAGAATTCATGGGTGCAGTTCAACAGCACCAGCCAGCTCATGTACGGCATGCCAGACCGCAACCACATCGGGAAGCACGAGTACTTCATGTACGCCACTGACAAGGGCGGGCTTTTTGCCGTGGATGCTTTCGAAATCCATGTCCACAAACGCCCGCACGGGGACAAGTCTCCAGTGAAGTTCAAGGCCAAGCTGGAAGGGGACCACAATGCGGTGGTGAATGACATCCATAAGAAGATCATGCTGGTGAAAAAGCTGGCTCTGGCATTCGGTGACAGGAACAGCAGCACCATTACGGTGCAGGACATTGCCAAAGGCTCCATTGTCGTGGAGTGGACTAACAACACGCTGCCCCTGGAGCCCTGCCCTCGGGAGCAGATCCGGACTTTGAGCAAAAAAATTGCTGATGACTCTGGGAGGCCGAGCCCAGCTTTCTCCAACGTCCTGCAGCCCGAGTTCAAGCCTCTGAACGTGTCAGTGGTCGGCTCCGGCAGCTGCAGGAACATCCAGTTTGTCCCCATGACCAAGGACGGCAGGGTGATCTCCGAGGCGACGCCGACGGTGGTGGCAGGCAAAGACCCCGAGAAGAGCAGCGAGGACGACGTGTACCTGCACACTGTCATCCCTGCCGTGGTGGTGGCCGCCATCCTCCTCGTGGCCGGCATCATCGCCATGATCTGCTACCGCAAGAAGAGGAAAGGGAAGCTGACCATCGAAGACCAGGCCACCTTCATAAAGAAAGGCGTGCCCATCATCTTCGCCGACGAGCTGGACGACTCCAAGCCTCCGCCATCCTCCAGCATGCCCCTCATCCTCCAGGAGGAGAAAGCCCCACTCCCCCCCCCAGAGTACCCCAACCAGAGCATGCCAGAGACCACGCCACTCAACCAGGACACCATCGGGGAGTACACGCCGCTGCGGGATGAGGACCCCAACGCGCCGCCCTACCAGCCTCCCCCGCCCTTCACCG